CACGAGAAGTGGGAGCGACAAGTGTGCAGAACAGAGATGGGGAAGGGAAGCATCCCAATTCTTGCGTCTGAGTTTGTCTAGTAATGTAGAAGTTGGGACGGACAGGAAACAGAAAGGAAGAAAATCGCACGCTTCCCTCTCCTTTCCTCAGAAAATGCACATGCACTGGACACAGGACGGTCATGGAACTTCTCTAGCAGTTTAGGGGCCTCCCGGGACCTGGCAGCCCACCAGGTACAGTGTGGAGCACAGTGCGCCTCCTGCAGACTGCAAAGATAGCTGTGCTCTCAACACTCGGCTGGAAGAAAACTCAGTTTAGGTTCTGCTTGGGAAACGACGGAGTTGGACAAGCAGCTCTTCTGTTGAAGGCACGAAACTCCCAGGGCAGCGGGACTCCACGCCTTGCTCTTCCCGTGCTTTCTTCTCGGTGACGCTGTCCGCTGTCACCCAAGTGCCCCGGCGCTCAAGACAGAGCCAGTACCCAGGGCAGCTATTGTGGGGTGAATGGTGGCCCCCAAAAGACATGTCCAAGCCCTGGCCCCCAGTACCTATGGGTGTGGTCTTGGGAGAGGGACTCTGTGTTACATGGGGGTCCGCCTGGAGGAGGTTGCCCTGGGTTACCCGGGTGCACCCCGAATCCGGTGATAATGTCCAGTGCCCACCCCAGTGTCCTCATAAAAGGTACAGAGAAGACAGCAGAGGCCGAGAGATGCGGCCACGAACCAGGGTCTTCCCAGAACCTCGGCAGGGAGCTGCAACCCTGCTCACCGCATGATTCCAGACACTCGACTTCCAGGACACAGAGAGGATACATTTCTGCTGTTTTCAGACACGTAACCTGTAGTAATGTGTTATGGCAACCGTAGAAAATAAATACTTGCCCTTAGCAAAATATCTTTGTGAGCACCTCTCTTTGATATTGCTCTTAAAGGCAAGAGCTACTAACCACGACATTAATGGCCTGGGAAGAAAGCCCCCCGCCGTCTCTGTCTCTCTACCTCTGTCTCTGTCTGTCTGTCTCTCTCCAGTCCCCAGGGCCTCCATTACGGACAGAGGAGGGGTACCAGCTCCCCAGACGTGGCAGCTCTTCTTCATTTCTGGAGGAGATGCCGGTCCTGACACAGGCTCACCCCTTGATTATGGGCTGTGTAGAAAGCAAAGTCCACAGCTCCTGCACTGTGCACGGAATTCATTCTTGAGGCTGGAGGACGTGGAGACCAGCTCCTTCGGGCACGGGCTTCGAGGATTCCTGTGATTTGGTTTTTGTTGTGATGTCGTTTCTGTGGTTATATGGAGGACCCTGAATTCCAGAGAAGGGAGCATTACCCAGAGTCAAGGGCAAAATCAGGGCCGGGGATGTAGCTCAGTGGTGCTGCGCCTGCCTGGCACGCACAAGGTCCTGAGATCGATCCCCGGTAGGGGGGCAAAATAAAAAGTAGATCACAGGAAACAGGGAGATAGATCCTCTGCCGATGAGAAGGGACCCGAGAGAAGGAGGCAGGAGAACAGGATGGAAAGGAATGAAGGTGTGTTACGTACATGCACCAGCTCCGTTCAAGGAGTAAAGGTTATGCACCGCAAACATGGGCTAATAAAAATGAAAATGAAAATAAGAAAGTTCATTCAAAAGGGGAAGGAAAGGTCTTCTCCCACAGTACAGCCCATGGAGGCCTGCACTTCTCCCCCGGACTCTGGGTTCAGTGCCAGGAACGGGGCTCAGCAGGTGTGGCCAGGCCCTTCTGAAGCCCTCGGTTTCGTGCTATAAGGGTTTTCACTCCAGCCCTTTCTTTATTTTTCAGTTTGAGACAAAGTCTCACTGAGTTGTCCAGGCTGGCTTGAACTTGCAATTCTCCTGCCTCAGCCTTCTGAGTAGTTGGGATTCCAGGTATGCAGGACCATGACTAACTGCAATGAAGTTTTTCAGAGTACTAAATTGGCAAGATTGGAATCATATTGCTTCCTTCAGTGTAGATTTAATTACATTTTCAAATATATTTTGAGAGAGGGTCTCCCTATGCAGCTCAGAATGGCCTCAAATTCACAGGGATCCTCCTGCCTCAGCCTCCCAAGTGCTGTGGTTACAGACATGTGCCACTACGTCTGGCACAAGTTTGCCTTTTAATCCTTGGCTGGGAAGTTTTAGGGGAAGGCTTCACACAGAAGATGGTCGAGGTGTGGAGTAAGGTAGGCTGAGTGGGTGCAGGTCCATGGTCCACTGGGTCTCTGGCAAACGTCTTGGCTCTGGACCAGTCTAGATAAAGGGATGGATCGGGAAATAATTTTTAGGATCTGCCCTGGGTAAGGCATGGAGCTGGACATTGCTGGGTCCAGTCTCCCTTAGGACTTGGGAAGCCAGGTGGGGCCAGATTGCAGACGGCTTTGATCTGTTCCCCTACCAGCTGCCCACCCCTGGGAGGCCACTGGGGCATTCCTGCCTCTGAATCTCTGCCTCGAAGCAGCCTCCTGCCTGCCCCACGCCCTCTGCGTCTGTCTGTGTGGCCCAAGAGCCAATGCAGTGGGACAGGCAGGCCTCAGTCCTGGGCCAGCAGGAGGTGACCTTTGTCCCACCCAGGCCAGGGCACCTGGTGGAAAGGAACCTGGTCCTTATTGTACCAAACACCTGGGAGAGGGAAAGAGCCATTCAAGCTCATCTGTATTTGATTGAAGCAGCCCACAGGCTACACAGGAGCCTAGGACACAAATTATTTCTCTGGTTCCTTCCCAGCTGATTAGACCACCATGAAACGTCAGTGCACCCTGTGATTCCAGAAGGCCTCTGGGGGTGGAATCAGCTCCATTATAATCTCCTTTGGGCTGAATTTCACAACAGATGCTCCAGATGGGAGTGGGAACTAATTGCCCCCATCATCAGCCTTAGAGCAGAAGGCCCGCTCCTCCCAGGACCCCAGTAGGAATGGAGAAAGCTCAGCAAGACCAGAGCCCAGGTCTGCAGAGCCAAGAGCTCCTGTCTGCGGAGCTCAGGTCCAGCTCGCTAACTGCCACCACTGAGATTCACAGTGTCTCAAAGGACGTTGGGAGCAGGGCTAAAAGACAGAGAAAGCCTGGTGCATGCTGGGAGGCCAATGCAGGAGGTCTGCAAGTTCAAGTCCTGCTTGGCCTGTTTAGCGAAAACTTGTCTCAAAATAAAAAATGAAAGGGGCTGGTGCTGTAGCTGACACCTCTCAGACTGATGCCAAATGCTATAGAAAAGAAGGCAGCTCGAAAGGGTGCCTATTTGTCAAATCCGGGACAATCCATTTATCCCAATAAGAAATGATAGTGAAGGTTCATAACTACGGAGTAAAATAGGACTCCATACAGCCACGGTGATATGAATACCTGAGTGGAGAGAAGAGAAGGCTTTGTCCCCTCACACATAAAGGATAAATTAGAAAAGTGACCATTCGGTAACTACCATGGCAATAATTAATCCAGCCAAGAAACATTTGTATGTTAAATATAGTGGATGAAGGCCGGGCGTGGCGGCACACTTGGGAGGCTGAGGCAGGAGGATCTCTGTGAGTTCAAGGCCAGCCTGAACCCTGCCCAAAATGCATGACACAAATCTAATCAGGTGGAAACATCAGACAAATCCAACATGGGGGCCATTCTAGGAAATCACCATTACCCGCCATTCAAAAGGTATCAAAGTTCTGAAAGCCAAGGAAAAATTGAGCCACTGTTCTGCATGAAGGAAATGGAAGAGACAAGACAACTAAATGCAACTGATGATCCTTTTGCTTTAAAAGCACCATTTGATTTGCTAATAAAACTTGGCCCCTGAGGATTGCATGTAGTGATGTTTCAGTGTGAATTTCCTCATTTTGGTGCCTGCACTGCCAGTCTGAGTAGAAACGTCTTTGCTTGTAGGAGTTACATGCTATGTGAGAGTTACATAGTATTTGGACTCAGGGAAAGTATTCCTTGTTCTACTTTTGAAACTTGTTTTCAGGATGAAATTATTTCCAAATAAGCAATTTTAGAAAATGCCCCGATGCAAACATGTCAAAGTTGTGACTATTAAACATAGTTTTAGCCGGGCGTGGTGGCGCACGCCTGTAATCCCAGCACTCGGGAGGCTGAGGCAGAAGGATCGCTGCGAGTTCGAGACCAGCCTGGGCTACATAGTGAGTTCCAGGTCAGTCTCAACTACATAGTGAAAATCTGTCTCAAAAAACAACAAACAAAAAACAAAAAACAAAAAAAAAAAACACATAGTTTTGTCCCTTCTAGAAAATACTTTGTCTTCAAGGTTGTGACAGCCAAGCATCACAAGAGGCAGATCAGTGCCTTGCGAGAGAGCCTCATTTGTGGTAAATGTCTATAAATCAGTGTTAGTGCCCCACTGGTTGTCCTTGGTGATACCCAGTCATCAAGTAAGACCAACCTTTAGTTAACTGCACCAATTTCATTTTACCTTTGCATCTGATGCAGTCAATGAAAAATTGTTCTGGGAGAAAAAAAACAACTTAGGGTATTGAAATAACTTTCATTAAAAAAACAAAACAAAACAAAAAAAAACACTTTAGCAAATGCTTTTGAAAAATCTGAGCCGGGCATGGTGATGCACACCTGATCCCAACACTCTGGGAGGCTGAGGCAGGAGGATTACCTGCTGACACTCTCATTAAGCTTAATGCAACCTGGGCACAGCAGAAGAGAAAGAAAATCAAGTCTGTTGGTGACAAGAGGGCTGTAGTAGGCACCGCCTTCCTGTTTCCTTTGTGACAAATGAATGCCATCTACGGACACCAAAGGCTCTCTCTGTGCACCAGCCCTAAGTTGGGCTTCTAGCTTCTTCACCCCTTCTTTCTCAAAGCAGAGCAACGCCTGGGGGCTGCTTGGAGTATCTGACAGCTCTTCAAGGGCTCTGCTGCGACCCTCCCTTCTGTCCGACTGGAAGGGGCTGTCCCCGGTTCACAGTCCTGCCATGTTCCAAAAGTTCTGGTTAATCATCACTTAGAGCTTGCAAATAAGATCGCAAGTTATGGTTTGGTTACTCAGCCCGCAAACTCCCCCTGAAAAACGTGCAACGTTCACTAATGCACACACACAGCACGGCCATGCTGGGAATGACGGCAGGGAAAAGGTACTGTGCTCTGCACATTAAAGCAAGCTTTCGCAGGTGCGGAAATCCAGCCAGTACAGCTACTGAGACCACTGGGAAGAAGAGAGTTGAACCCTGCTGGAGCCCCAGCTCTGGCCTGCTCCCCTCCATCCCACAGCTCGGGCTCAGGACCTCCTCCCTGGAAAGTGCGGAACACCTTCTTCTGCTTCTCCTGAGGCCTCGCTGTGACATCTGCTCCAGGAAGTGTCTGGGTGAGTCGCAGAGGCGTGGCCTTGGGGTCTGGGCGTGGGCCTTCACCCTGTCTTCCCTGGCACTGCTCCCCTGCTCCCCTTCCCTGCCGCCATGAAGCGAGCAGCTCCCTTCACCGCACCCTCGCACCACGAAGTTCCTGCCTTGGAGCCAACTGACCATGGACTGAATCCTCTCAAAATAGGAGCCAAATTAAACCTCTGCTGGAGGTGTGAGCTGTGGGTGTTGGGAATTCTGTCCCAGCAATGGGAAGGCTGACTAATGTACCCTTGTCCCACAGTTGTAGACCCCAGGCCCATAGCACTTATGACACACTGACCTTGCTGTAATTTTGTTCTCTCTCTCTCTGAGTCTGACACACACACACACACACACACACACACACATGCACGCACAATTGGTCTCACTACACACAGAAAATATGACATTGGGACAAAAAGTAATTCCTGAAAGTAAAGTATTTAGGGGAGCAAATATAATTTTCCATTTACCACTAAATATGTATTTCATTTAGGTCAGCCTCCTAGTGATACTTGGTGGAATTATTTTATTTAAAACATCTGCGGAATATCCTATTTATCATAATACTGAGAGAAAGGAACAAAAAGAAAAGAAAGAAGTCATAAATAGCTATCAGAATCAACCCACTGCTGACGCTACGTGTAGCTATAAACTCACTGGATATGACGTGATTTGACTTTCCAAAACTGGTAAGACCATTGATGGTACTGAGGGTAAAAATATCCCTGAAATCCTTATTCTGTGATAGAAAAGGAAGGCAAGTCTGTCTGTATTCTCCATGCGTGTTCTTCTTCAAGACAAAGTTTATAAAATAATCTCAGACAGGGTGTAACATTTGCCAGACAGCTGTTCTAGGGAATGCCAAGACGATAATCCTTGGGTCTGTCATAGTCTTTTGCATTTTTTTCTTGCTTCAGTGAATTCTGGGTCTGGGCCAGCATGGGGACACGTGTTCAGGAAGTTCCAAAAGGCTCTAAGGAGATGTCATTTTCCTTGAGGCTTTTTATGGACTTATTTTGGATTTTGTTGTTGTCGTTTTTTGTTTGTTTTGTTTTGTTTTGTTTTTGAAACAGGGTCTATGTCGTTTAGGCTGGTCTTGAACTCACTATGTAGCCCAGGCTGGTCTTGAACTCACAGCAATCCTCCTGCCTCAGCCTTCTGAGTACTGGAATTACAGGCCTGCACCACCACGCCCAGCTCCTTGAGGTGTCTATGCCTGTTTCTGACCTTTGTAAGAAGGCAGTGTCTTGGTGAAGCCGTTCACCCTGCTCCTGACGTTCACCAGCTCAGTTCGCACCTGGTCGGATTCCCCTTCAGACCCCTGAGAAGTCTCCTATGGAGAGTGGATGAACCCCAGACAGGAAGCCACAGACTGGTTGGTCTCAGAACTGGAAGTCAGCTCCGGGTCACATGGCCTGGCACCTTCCCTTTTGATTGATTGGTCACTGTCCCTGTGCAGCAGGAATGAGTTTTATAGAAAACTAAATTCTTTCTATCAAGAAACATGTTCAAAGTCTCGTGGATATTTTAATACATGCAATAAGCTTCATGAAAGAATTCTGGACAGGAAAAGAAGGATTCTGTGCATTTACACAGGCCTAGACAGAAGCCCGCAGCCAGCCCTCCTGTCAAACCTTACAGTGCCAGTTCTCTGATGCCGCTGCTTCCTGATTCTGTGACTATCAGTAGCCATGGAGACAAGTCGTGAGCAGTGAGTGGTGCACACCTATGACTGCAGCACTCAGGACGCTGAGCTGGGATGTGAATCCAAGGCCGGCCTGGCTCACACAGTGAGGCCCTGTCTCAAAAACAAAGCAAAGTGAAAAAGAGACAACAGCGGACACAGAGCCTGGAGAACAGATGCTAACAGCAGGCACAGGCCACCGGAGGGATGTGTGAAACCACCCTGAGGTCCTGACTGATGTGGGCCGGAAACCAGATCTCCAGCCACAGAGGAATGGGAACCCACTCCTCTGCTGCCTTCCTGGAGTCTTCTTTTGGGTCCAGATCTCCTCCTGTTAGAAGGAAGGACGTGAGTCAAAGTGGGTCTGAGACCACCGGAACGGCTCCATTACACTCAGTCATCCAAACACAGTGATACTCCGTGGGTTAGGACCCAAGCCAGTCCCCGACAGTCAGAAAGGACTCTTCAGAATAGGGTGAGAAAACCCCCAGATTAGTAGGACTTCAGAGTTGTTTGATAAGAAGCAGGATGGAATTCACAGCACTGCCCAGAGAGAGGCGCCTGTGGAGGGGCCCAAGTCGGCCTCTTCTGCCCAGACTTTGGGATCCCCAGTGCTGTCTCCTCAGAGAGGAGGCCAGAAGAGACCAGGACGCAGGATGCAAAACGGCAGCTCATTTCAGTTTTCTAGTAGCCACAGTAAAAATAAAAGAAAAAGAAAAATGGGCGGAATTCAGTTTAAAATGTATCTAATCTAACTTCATGTGTTCAAAATGTCATAATTTCTACCTGTGATCCACATTAGACAGTGCTTAGTGAGCCCTTCTACCTTCCTCTGGCTGTGCTGCCACCAGGCGCTGGTGACCATTTTAAGCCGAATTTCTGTGCTCCGCAGCCCCATGGGTTGGTGGCTGCCACATCCCACTGCGCAGACCTAGGTCTCCTGAGGTCCTCAGTTCTCGTCCTGAGTTCCCCTGGAACCCTGCCGGCCTCAGAGCCAGGACAGGGCGGCTCTCCCGCTGCAGCAGCACTGCTGTGTCCCGTTGCCTGTCCCGACAGAAGTCACCAGCTGTGCTGCTAATCAGAAAGAGCTCCACAGGTAAGGCTTCTCCTGGTGGAAGACGCCTGGTGTTGGCGTCTCCCACGGACGTGTGATGTCCGCATCTGTTCTGAGTCCCACTCCCCCGGGGAGGTAGGAGAAAACTGAGGCTGGCAGAATTGGCAAGGAAGTGGGCTGCAGGGGATTTCGTGCAGTCTTGTGACTTCGGGTCTGCATAAACAGTACAGGAGGTGTTGACATGTTAGTGTATCTGGGCCTGTAGCAAATGAACCCTTATACAAACTGGACGAATGAACGAATGAAGAAACTGAATTGGTTTGAAATTCCCTAGAGGGTGTGGGGCAGGGCAGCCTCTGCTAAGGCCTGGGCTTCTCTGAATTGCCTGGAATGAGGGTTTCCGGAGAAGAAGATCCTAGAGAGATCCTAGAAAGATCTTCCCCACTCCAGTGCAATGGAAGTAACTGGTTAGAAGGAAGCTACTTAGGAGAGAGACTGTCTACCTAGCACCATTTTAAAATTATTATTTATGGTATTTTGGTGGGGGTGCCAGGGACCGAACTCAGGACTTTGTGCTTGCGAGGCAGGCAGCGGAACCACTGAGCTAAATCCCCGGCTTAGTGGCCATTTTTATCCTTGGAGTTGAATCCACTTTCTGTATTTCTGGAGGAGGTAAATCATTCAGAAGGACCTCAGGCCCTGGATGCTGAAACGAAAGGAACCTCGAATGCTGGAAACCCCTCCCCTCCGTGAACGCAGTCTCCAGCAGGTCCTCGGTCCCGTCTGTGCAGTCCCAGGTGCCACTTCACATTCTCTGGGGGACAGCCCAGTGGGTGCCAGCTCCAGCACCTCACTCTGGGCCCTCCAAACCCTCCTTTGCAGAGGTGGGCTGGTGTTTGGGGTTCACATATCAGCCAAGCCCATGAGAGGACCTCGGCAGCAGCTCTGAGTCTTGTCGTGTGCCTTCCAACTGCGCTACCTTTGGGGACCCTGAGGGAGTTCTTCACCCCTTCCTTAAAAGAGCTCACCACTACCAGGGGAGACACCAGAAATGAGAGCACAAACATCGGTGTCTTCCACGGTCAAGTTCTTTCCTGAGTCCCTCTGTCAATCCATTAGTCACCACGATTTTCCTCTTAGCAAGTTTCTCTGCCTCAGTCCTTCAGCCAGAGAGGGGAGGTAACACTGTAACTTAGACAGGGGAGATGACAACTTGACTAAAAGGTTACATTGTGCAAAGTGAAGCAGTGTTTCATAGTAGTCCTTCATAAAATTCGGATTCTTCGCAAACAGCTTCTAGCTTTTTTTCCCCCTCCAGAATCAAAATGATCTGTTAAATTGGGCGTGGTGATGTATACCAGTAATGCCAGCACTCAGGAAGCTGAGGCAGGGTGATCACTGAGAGTTCAAAGCCAGCCTGAGTTACATAGCAAGACTCTGTCTCAAGAAAGAGAAAAAGAAAAAGAAAAAATTGCTCTTGCTAAAACTCAAATCACTTTCACTCGCCTGGCCCGACATTGCCTTTAGTAGTTTCCCAAATATTCCTTTGTACTGGAATCCCCAAGGGGATGCTGGCAGAAAAATGCAACTTGATGAGCCCCTCCCTGGATCCTGGTTTAAGAGGCCAGGGTGAGGCTCAGGAATCTACATTTTTATCTCATACCCAAGGGGGATTCTGCTGTAGGTGATATGGCACCGACCCAGCTTTCAGCACAGCCCGGGTCAGCTGGCCCCGGGCCCACCATTCCAGCCTCAAAATCCAAAACTCTGTGCCTTCATCAGCAGGGTCCAGACTTGCATCGGGCAAAATGAGAAGCCCAGCAAAGTCGAGCCTGCTCACGTTTCTCCGCAGAATTGCTGAGTGCCGGGCCTGAGGGTCTCCATGGGAACCAGACTCCACGACAGACCAAGTGGGCGACCACAGGGGACGGCAGAGCCATGATTCCAAGTTCCTGTTCTCTCTCAGCATCTCCCTTAGAGACCAGCGTCCCCCTGGTCTACCCTTAAAGTACCTCAGGGAGGGCAGCTCTCGGTTTGGGGGAGGAAGTTGAGACCAGATACCAGAGGAGGCCTGAGCCCTGACTGAGCCCTGAAACCCAGCAACACTCCTGCCCCAAACTCATGGACTCCTGCAAAGAAAAAAACAGCTTTTCCTCTTATGAATGCCTCTGCGTCAGACACCTAAAAAGTCTTGATGTACTTGTGGTCCTGTCAGGGAACTTTACAATACTTTTTTTTTTTTTTTTGAAACCCAAATATGAAATCCAAGCACTTTTAAAAGGTGTTTAAAGTTCCTGTTAAATGTCACTGAGCGGGGCTTCCTTCTTGACGAATTCCAGATCAGAACAATTGGCTGGGATCTGCATCCTCACTGAGGTGACAGCGTCCCTCGGCCACCCCCTTGTGCCTTTCCTGTCACCGTTTTTGGAAACTATTTGTGAAATATAAGTTACATGCAGTCACACCGGGTAAGGGTGAGTCCTAAGCCCACTCACTAATGTCCTTAAAGGAGAGGAAAAGCACGAGAAAGGACAATGCCGGGGAAGTCGCAGACACACAGAAGAAAGCGCGAATCACCGGCAAACCCCAGAAGCTGGCGGGAGGGAAGGAATGACCCTTCCCTAGAGCTGCAGAGACCGCAGCCCCTGCAGGACCTGTTTCCATCTGCCCCACCCCTCAGCACCATCAGAGAATGGATTCTATCGTCCTAAACTCTGTGAGAATTTGTTAGAGCAGCCCCAGGGGTATAATGCACTGCCCAAGAGGACTCTCTCTTCATGAAAGCAGACTCCGCTGGTTCTCCGATAGATTGCACAGGTTAAACTAACTTGCCCCAGCCGGATCCTCCTGCCTCAGCCTCCTGAGAACCTGGAATTATAAGCATGGGCCACTGCTCCCCGCTAACTCTTCTCTGGACAAGAGCATTCCAACTTCCTTTAGGGCTCCTCTCTTCCAACTATGTGCAGTTTTGGGGGATGCTGTTAAGGTTCCTTGGCGTGCCCCAAAAGGAGCCAAACTTTGTCAGTTGGACTCTCACTGCGGTTTGGTCCAGAGCACAGGGAGGCCAGAGGGAAGGTAGGGTGGCTCCCACCACCTGCGGAGCCCCAGGGGACTGTCCACTGGGACCGCTGGCCCTGCTCCACCCTCTGAGAGGCCTTCCCTTCTGCCTGAGTTGGCCAGGAGCAGTTTTATTCCCTGCAACCAAAAACCAGAAGGGAGGCGCCTCCCGTCCTCCGAGCTACACACACAGCTTCATGTAAGGAAGACATGCTGCTAAAAATACAGTCCCCATGCCTTCCGCTGAGCTTTGGAGCCAGTCCTTTTGGGGATATGAATTCATTTCAGAAATCAAAACAGCTCTAGATAAAAG